GGGATTGGATTTGAGTAAACAACTCTCTTAAAGGATGTTTTGCAATCACAATGAATTCCTCTCCACTGAAAGACTTGTATCTCCTCTACCCTGCTGACATGTATTCACTCTAACTTTCCTCCACCTTTTGAGTGACAATAATAGTGATTGTATTGGCAATGCATCCAGTGTCTGAAAAAGAGCTGATGTATTGTTTGTAAAGTGAAGCCTGGTTGTTTCTTTGTTCCCCTCGGTCATAGGGATTAGCTCTGCTGAGAATGAACGGATGGATTCTCACAGTCTGTCCCTCTGTATGAGACCTTGTGGTCAGCTCCAGCAGTCAGCAGTAATGCCATCCAGCTGATGGAAGGCTCAGCCAATGAAAACTAATGCATCTAGATGGGATCCTGTCTTGGTTGGTTTTGTTCAAGATGGAGGGCAGCAGCAGAACAGACAAGTGGAGTGTGTTCTGTCTGGGAACAACTTTATATATTTAAACTGTTATATTACTAAAATGCTATATTCCCAGGCTTCGGGAGTAATGAATTTCACAAACAGGACACAAAAAAACTGTTTTCCCTTACAGTGACATAAAAAAAGGTGTAATCCTAGCAGAATTATAATGTTATATTTTGTTTCAAAATATAGATCAATATGTTATAGGTAGACGTACTGCTGGAATTTTCTTTATGGTTTTCATTTGGACTTCTTTCATTCTTCATGATTTTTCTTTTAATTAATGTATTCAACTAAAAAGGCATTTGTAAACTAAACTACTCTGTAGGCCTAGCCCATCATTTAAGGCAGACACCATTTTGATCCTCAATACCTTGGTTTCTTCTTTTCTAAGGTCGCATTGTTCTGTTGTTACATAATACGCTTAAAAAACTATTATTGCTATTTATTTTCTCTTGTTTTTATTTATATTTCATTTGATATTGAGGTAATCAAAAGTTACTGAAATTAATCACATTACTTATATGTATTTATTTAGATTAGGTTATGACTAGTAATTGAACAGAATACATGTTTAGAGTAACCCCCCAATTCTGTGTATTACATGACATGTTATATGGCTGCCGTTGTTCTCCAAAGTGACTGACATACACTGTAATACAGTAGACATGCCTACAGGGTTAAGTGTCTGGCCCAAGGCTAAACATGTTGACTGCAGAACATGGACACTTGGATTGGTAGACCCCCATTTAAAAGTGCATCGGAAGCCGATTTGGTTACGGTCCAAAAAATATTCTCTTTGCTAAATTATGAACCATCCAGATCTCTCAGGTCTTCAGGGACTGGTCTGCTCTCTGTCCCCAGAGTCAGAACTAAACATGGTGAAGCAGTGTTCAGTTATTATGCTCCAGACATCTGGAACAAACTCCCAGAAACCTGCAGGTCCGCTGCAACTCTGGCTACTTTTAAATCCAGGCTGAAGACTTTTCTTTTTGCCGCTGCTTTGAATGGAACTATTCATATCTTACACTGCAGTGTCACTTTTATTCGTGTATTTTTTATGTTTATTTTATTATCTTTGCTTTTCAATTACTGTTTTTATAATATGTTTCCGCTGCACTATTTCTTAATGCTCTTAACGTCTTTCATTTTTGTAAAGCACTTTGAGTTGCCTTGTGTTGATGGGTACTATATAAATAAACTTGCCTTGCCTTAAAAGGGAAACAAATACGTTTAGGGCCATATTGATTCAGGTCCTGCATCATCAATAGTCGTATTAGAGGACGCACACAATATGATTATTACAGCTGGCAAAGCCATAGCATGACCAAATCAAAACACATGGTTGGACATTAAAGAGGCCTTGTTATGCTTTTGGGGGTTTTCCCTTTCCTGTCCAGTGTGAAATAAAGCCGACTCTGATGTGATTGGTCAACCGCTTAGAGATGTCCCGCCCCTTAGCCTATCACGCACAATGTGTTGGAGCGCAAGCCAATAGAAGGGCGAGTGTTACATCGTGATGTCACTACGTTCAGGCAGTAAACAAAAGAGACCAATGGAGGCGTTCAAGGCAGGGGGGAGTGTGTGGGAGAGAAACTCCCTCTGGAGGGAACACAGGGATTTTGAAGGCCTTTGAAGACCATTAACATGCACACAAACCTATACCACACTACAGGAAAGGGAAAACACCCTAAAAGAAAAATAGGGCCCCTTTAAGTGAATAATGGTAACACTTCTTCCACCACTAGACTATCTTGACAACCTCTTTATCTGTCTTCTTCATCGTAATTCCTGCAATCTATTGCAAAAATTACCATAACTATCCACTCACAAATACAGATGTTTAGTCCCCAGAAACATCCCCACTGTAGGAGAGTTTAGCCAACACCTGTTCTACTGTAACAGCGATGCAGAGGAGACTCTAGTTACCTCACCTCACTTTACATATTCATTAAATACTGTACAGGGAATACATCTGTGAACAGCTCTTTCCTTATTGGACCGTGGCCTTAGGGCCTTTGTTGTGATTGGATACTGGCAAAAGAACCCTTCCTCCCCCCTCTGTTGTAAAGGTCTGCTCCTGCATATTAAACAGTCGGAGTGATGCAGCAATCAAATGCAGTATCACCTCAAATAATAAATACATGGAATTAGCCTGGTTGATAACAGGTGGAGTTAAACAGGGGGGGTGAGACATGTCAATGTGATGAAGACAGATGACGAGGCTGCATTGCTGTAAACCAGTGAGTCAGCCCTCCCTTCCTTCAGGCAGAGGAGGGGGGGGGGGGGACAGTGAAGGAGACACGAAAATGCATGGGAGCTGTCCCTGGTGCTGAAATCCGGAACAAGTTCAGCTCAGTGCAAGAAAAAACTAATATGCATGCTGTCTTTCAATACCTGACCCACATCTAGGATAATCTGCATCACTGTCTTCAGTGTAACAGGTCAGTAGTTCTCTTTACTGTGAGAAAATAAAAATGTTATTATAGTGTCACACTTCTCAATCCACATCACGGACCAAACAAAAGCCTTTCTGTCCAGTTTTTCCACATAGATCTCATCCAAAGTCTGTCGTTTGGCATTCTGATCACAAAGCCAGGGTGGGGGGTTCTCTGCCATGTAATTCTGCTCTAAAGACTCTCATTAAAGTACTTTTATATCCCAGAAACCTCAGTCCCCGAGGAGACAACCGTGCTGGGTTTTCATGCTATTTGTGGACTTAACACAGCCCCGTCAGAAGTGCATGTGAAAGGGTCCGGATCAACAGGAATTGGATATTTCATATTGAAAGACATTGTCCCCCCCTTCCCAACCCAGCTCTTTGAAATGATTTTGTTGCATTATTCATCTTTCAAAGCTGTCACGCTTTGAGGCTAACCCTCTGTCAGTTTGCTCAACATCACAGATGCACCATGAGATGGATCCGCACACTGTACCCCACAGACAGCTGATCTGAGGAGGAACCCAGCCGCATCACATGGAGGCAGAGGAAGGTGATTCAGCTATATTAGAGACACTGATCAAACAAAGCTAACTCCAGTAATGCAAACACACCTTTTTGTAGCATTGCCACAGGAACTTTTGTACTTTGTAACTCTGATTTCCCCTCAGAACACCAAAGCAGCCAATTGCAACTCATGTAACAAATTCACTAAAAAGCCTCCTTCAATTCTGAAAAGAAGCTCCTTTACTGAACTTGCAGCCACATTCTTCTCTTTGACATGAAAAGATCATGCAACAGGTCTAGTACTTGCAGTACCCTAAGTAAAAGGCTACACGGGTCATTGTTACAATAGACTGTATTTTAGATTAGGACAACAGGAGAATGATGTCACGCGTCCGTAAATAAGGGTCCTTTTCTGGGCACTGCAGAGACCAGGCGGGTGTGGTGACTGCATTCGCGCAATCCCTTTGGCGCGAACTCTCCCAAAAAACACACTATGTGGACACCCCTTCCCCTGTGAAGGCTCTCCATAGCTACCACAACTAGGCGGACGTGTGTTGGAGTTCAAATAATTCATGTGCTGCCAGGAATATTTGAAACATTTCGCTTTATTCCGACAGTCAGGTGCCCATTGACGGCGCGCCTCCCCAAAGCCCGCGTATGATAACAAAATACATGCACAATGACAAGCTGACATCTGCTCTCCATCTGACAGCAGCTTAGTATTCCACACAGACATCACACTCACCCAGCACCCTATGAGTTCTTCCCCCTCCGTATACCCCACTCTTTCTCCATTCCTATGCGGCTTTTTTTTTTCTTCCTCCCCTCCCGAGGCAGCCCGAACACAACAACGGAATTGAACAGCGGCTTCATGAAATATGCAGGTATATAAAAAAAAAAATTCGGAAAGCAAAAACGACATCTCAAGCCAAACACTTTTCATGCTCTGCCGAGAAACTGACCTCCCAGTCTAACGAATCCCACTCTTCGGTAAACATCCGGAGGATTGCTTTTCATCCAAAAAAAAAGCGGACCACCACCAGGCGCAGCGGCTCTCTCTATGGAGCGACTGGGCGATGCAATGCCATTGCGCTTTTGGTATTATCCTCATGAAATCAATTTGAACAGGGGGACGTCGTCAGGAGGAGAAGGCATCTCGGCGGCGTCGAGCCCACAGAAGAAACGATGCTACGCTTTACATTCCAACATTTTTTTTTTTTGTTGCTGTGCGATGGTTGCAACCAATTAGCACACCACTTGCGCTCGGAGGCGAATAGCTCCTGACAAGGCGCTCCTTCTCTCGAGCTTCGCTTCTATCGCTGTGCTGCTTTTTGGAAAAAGGTGGCAGACTATAGGCTACAACACACGCAACTTCTCATTTCCAGGATACAGGGAGGGAATTTAGCGTAGCGCTTACTCCAAAGCCAATAAATCCCAGTAGCGCATTTGACAAATCCTTCCCCTCTGCTGAGGAGCAACAATAACCTTAAGAGGTCCCTGCCTCTTAAAACGCGTTATTCCATGGTGAGAGAAAAAAAAAGATCCATATTAGGCCCTAAGCAGTGGGAGATGTGTAGGGGTTGCTAAAAAATGAATGACACTGGGTATGGCTACTCACCATTAGCACAGCAAAGTTATTATGATGGGTGCAATGAATGGTGGTCGTGTTGCCCCCGGAGCCTGTTATGTGGCAGCCCTCTGCCCTCCAGCCACCGTGTCCATCCAGCAGGTCAAAATCCCAATAGGCGGCGGTGGGGTCTACACCCAGTGCGAAGTGCCTGAGAGCAATAGTAACGGTGTGCACGGCGCTCCCCAGGCTGCACCCATCTGCAAGAAACACATTCAATTAAGGAAACCAAGTGGAAAGTCTGGAAAATAAGCGTGGACATGGGTGGCGGGCGCACACGCATTATTGCTCAGGTTAATGCAGTTTAAGTGAACTTAAGGAAAGTGACATTTGTCTTATATAGAAATGCATCAGTGGATGGAACGCAGCGTGTGATTAATTGTAATTAAACAGGAAGTAATTGAGATATTGTGGCACACTAGCTGCGAAGCTCCAACATGTTGCGCAGAGCCACAACTGATCCACAGTGCATGTGTGTGTGCGTGTGATAGCATGTCGGCATTACAGTGCAGCGTTGACATCACAGGCATGATGATGATAAACATGGATTTCCTCTTACCTAATTTGGTGAAAGCAACTGGTGTCGAAACGCTCCTACGCTTCCCATCGTCTGCGAGATTGGACGAATTGCCCGTGCAAGGGAAGAGTTTCCCATTGCGAAACACAATAAACTGCAGCTTGCAAGTGGAGTTATCAACAGATTCCAACGCAGAGGAGGAGATAGGCGTACCAGCCAGCGGTAAATTGATTGAGGCGACTGCCACTGAGTTCTGCGGGTGGAAGAAAAAAAAGAGAGGAGAATAAAAATTAAATAATGTCTCCGAGATGCGCAGGGGGAAAAACAAACTCCCATGGAAAAAAGAGACTGTTGATTTATTTCCCTCTCCAGGAGTGGAGGCGACCATAGACCACAAGTGACCAAGGGAATGAGAATCACGTTTGAAGCGCTCTAGTGCGCCTATTTGGTCAGGCTCCCTGCCGCAGAGGTGGAAATGGTTCTTACCATTTCAGCTTGAGGGCACATCAACACTGCAGCTTGATTTAAAGAGACAACCGGTCTGACTTTATCTTCTTTTCAACGGCTATAAACACACCAAAAACCAGCCCTGGCAACATTTAGGGGAAAAGGGTTTCTAGGAGAAAAAGGGGCATGGCTTGGGTCTGTCCAGGTGTCTCCATCTTTGAGAACAAGTGCAAAGAAATCATGTAAACGTGCTTCTTATTCCTGTTACTACAAGCACAACCCCTTCCAACAGTCCCCTGTGCATCCAAAAGTCCCATCAGAGTAGCATTCAAGAGCCACAATCTCTCTGATCTGCTGTGCCCTGCAGCTCTGCATATTGTACATTACATATATGAATATATTCCCTTCCTGTCCCAATAAATTATATGCTGAAAAACATCAACAATGCCTGCAGGAACTTTGCCACATGCAGCTTTAGTTGGATTGATCCCCCTGGTGGGCAGAAATGTTGCTCAAGGGTGTCTGGAACTGAGTGGCTGCACTTAGGACAGGCAGCACTTAACCCTGCGATAAGATCAACTTTAATAATAAAAAAGCCTCCAAAATGGTGCTGTCAGCAGAAACATTGCTACACATGTGGCCATGCACTCCACTTTCTGCATCATAAGGTGATGCAACTGCACAGTCTCACATGCGCACAATATTTCAGATATAAATCTAGAGTGCCACTTCTACATTTTCAAATATTAAAATCATTACATTACAACATTTCCATACATGACATGTTATTTAGCTGAGCTGATTGGTTAAACAGACTTGCCTGTACACCAAATATTCCAGATTTGATTCCAGGGCTAAAAGGCAAAAAATGCAAAAAACAACTGGTAATGCCAAATCATGACCAAATAATGGTTTGACATTAAGCTAGGTGCGTAGAAACATCTTGTTAATGCTCAATATTATATATTTTATTTGCACATTTATTCTCAACACTATACCTATTTTCAAATCTGCACAGCTCTCCAATGAAAATTCTAGTATTTTGTCATCACTGTACTGAGTTTTATGTGTATTTATATGTTTCTATACATTATCCAAAGCTATCTACATACACGTATACATACATACACCTTACAATTGTGATTAGTATTGTATTGTTTCGGGGGCTTAAAGGTGAACAATGATAAACATATATCTAAATGATACCAAATAAGTTGTGGGCCAGATTGATTGAAATCCTGGCTCTTTAATAGCCGTTTTAAGGAACCTGGACAAAAGCTGTAACCGTGCATATCATGCATGGTTCAATGTTTCAAAGGCAAAAGAAAAGTCTTGATGACGCACAGGAAGTCAGGTGTAATTTAGCTAATCTTCTGGTCAGTGACCGTCAAGTGAAGATTATTAAGACATTTCTGCAACATGAATTAGATTTCCAGGAAGAAGCAAAAACCCTGTTTATGCAGAAAGTGACCCGGATGGAGAATGATGCTAATGACGAGGCTGACAATGTGTTCACAGTGGAGATAATGATTGTGTTTGTTGCCTTTTTCTTCAGATTTCAATCACCTCACACTACAGCGTGAGGGGATCAGCGCTCTGAGCCTGAAGGGCAGGGAAGCTTCCGGCTCAGGATGGATGTGGAGGCCCATTAAGTGGCCATACAGTTATTCAGACGCTCAGCCCAATCAATGTCAGGAGAAAGATGGCCGGACTAAAACAAGTCCAACGAGAGCTCTTTGTCTATTGTTATGGTTATTCAGGGGTTTTCTAGCTAAAGGTATCATGGATTTAGGATATATTTTCAAAAGGGTGGTGCAGTTACCACTCTATTCCTGTCAGAATTACATTTGAGACAACTTTACTAAAACATTACTACTAAAAAAAACATCATTATTGTGTTGAGTTTGAAATCCTTGATCCTGGACAAAATGCATCATGCCTCGTTTCAGCCATGCCCATAGATTTAGTTTATAAGTGGATTTCTCCAAGATGACGTCACTCTACTGGTTGGCTGACTCATTTTATCATCTATAGTTTGGTGTTTTGGACATTCAATCTTGTTGACAGGTGACCTGACAGGGTGCACGGAGCTAAGTACAAACACATGCTCAACACGTGTTGTGGTTGACCCAAGATATTAAAACGTACTTTCATTCACTGAAAGCACACTGATAAAGTTGCAGAACAAGAACACATAGAGCACTTGGCTGGTTTATGAGGGTATATTAATAAGTATATTTGCAACTAGCCTCCTGCTGGCCATTAAAAAGAATGCACGTTACATGCGATTCCCTGTTGGATTTACTTTAATACTTTTCTCAGACCCGGGCGGTGCTGCCTGGCCATGCCACCAAATCCTTTTTTCACCTAATAGAGGGTGGTTGGTTTAGCTATCCTGCAAATTATTAAAAAAAATGCATGTAACCATTTCTCTTTTATTTGGAAATGTAAAACAATCACGAAAGTCCTACTTCCCAAGTCACAGAATTATAATTTTAAGAGGTTTGAATTATTGAATGACATATCAATACAAGTTAAGGCCTTACTTTTAGATGTGGGGCCTGTGTCCATACACTGCTTTTTTCACAGGTTGTCTTTTTTCCATGACAATGATATCTCAACAAAGTATCTCCGCTGTTGTAAGACAGGATAGCAGTAGGGCCTGGCTAATTTCGTGGCATCTGCAGGCAGTGGCAAGTACTTCCGGCATCTGCCACAGAGGCTACTACTCTGTGGTATCTGTGGCAAGTACTTCCGGCATATGCCACAGATGCCACAACTTGCCGAGGCATCTGCCGCTGCTGAACGGGAGTTTGTCACAAGATGCCAGAGTAAGAGAAGGTTTACGGTAGCTGCCACTCGCCTTCCGTGGCAAATGCTGCTATTTAAACCCGTATTTGCAGATGCCACTACTCCGTGGCATCTGTGGCAGGTACTTCCGGCATCTGCCACAGATGCCGGAAGTAACTTGCTTGCTAATATTTCGTCATCTTAAATGTAGTTTCTGAAGCTTAGAAACTTAATTTTTGTTTCACTCATTCAGGTCCAAGGTGCAACTATTGTGTGCTGATTTAAAAGCCTATCCTAGGGTCCAAATCTGTATACATATATTTTCACAGAGGGGGTCAAGGGAGAAATACATAAAACAATTAAGGAACATTATTATTTTCCAGTTTACAATTAGCAAGTTTCACACATTGTTAGGTCTCATATTGTTAATTTCCTCTATGTTTTTTAAATGACTTGTTACTTCAGACAGAAGAGATCATCCAGCGAATTGAAAACATCCTCTGGAACTGTAGCTGAGAAGCAACTTTATATATCAGGGGTACTTTTGCCAGAGGTGAGATGATAACTATTGGTAAAATAACTATAGTTACATAACATAAAACACAGCATAAGCCTAATTTCAATGTCAGATTTGAACATGCTTTTAATTACAAATATATTTGTTTAAAGGTTTTTATTCAGTGGATGTCACGGGGGGAAAACACATCCAACAAAAGGACCAGGTATAGACTACACTTGCATTTTAGGCAAACATGCCTATGTGCAACATCAATAGATCCATTCTGCCAGGGACATGTAGTGGTTATGCATATCAAGATTACATTCATGTAATGAAGCAATGGCACCAGTTTCTTAACAAATAATTGTCCTTTTTCCAGAGCTGACATGACAGTAGATGAGGCTCACATACCAGAAGAGGTAAGGCATTTACAAAACACCCACAAAAGATTAACTCAACAAATCTATTATGTGCATTTTGGCAACCTTTATATATATATAAAAGCAGTGTGTGTGCTTTGTAGGCAAAGATACAGGAAGATGTTATAGTTAGATTTGCAGTGATTTTATTTCTTAAATTCACTAAAAGATCATGGTATATTTGCTGGTATTCACAATAGAAATGGTAGGGAACTACTATTCATTTATATTCAAATGCAACACACAACAACAACAACATGTCTAAGGTTATAATGTTATTGAATGTAAAGCAAGCCTTTTCAATTATACGTCAATCTCGATTATCAATCTCTGGTTATATTTGATGCAAAGGTTTGTTTTAATTATTCAATGACATTAGAAGTTGAGGTAAATCTGGTCATTTACTAGCATTACGTTTTACATTTTTAAGCATTAGTTAAAGTAAAAACGTATTTTATTCTTGCAGGAAAACATCTTGATTACCCATATGAAGGCTGCTGCTGTTTGGTGCCAAAACACCGTTTTCGAGAAGGGACTAAAGTTGCCCGCTTTCCTGTCGATGGATAAGGACAACCAAGATCAAACCCTACAAGCACTGCAAAGCTGGCAAGGGGAGACGGATGAGGATGACTCACCACACGAGCTCTTCACCTTTGAATTTGAGAAAAGAAACGACTGCGAAACCTTCTGTCAAGAACTCAAGCATTACAAATGATTTGCCAGTTTCAAAACCCAATAAAAGGGTTGGACACAAAAACATGAATTGTGTCTTGCATTTTTACTATACTGTCATGATTGTCTTAATGGAATAACATGGTTTGTTTAGATTCACTGATATCAATATCAAATAAGAATCATCTGAAGCATTTCAATAAAAATGTTCAACCAGAATTAAAATATTAAACAACAAAACAGATACAATGACATTAATCTGTTTATTAACAACGAAAATAATACAAATTAAGTACATATGCCTACATTTAAAATAACACATTTATACATGTGTACAATCAAATATAACTGTCCTTTGCCTCATTTATAAAGTATAAATCTTAGCATCTCACTAGCAGTGACAACTGCAATCAGTTACAGCTGCCC